CATCTTTGTGACATGAAGAAAACTGCAGAACTATTAATTATGTATCTCCAGGGTACAATGACAATTAATAATGCATGACATTGTGTGACATTAAGTCCTGACTGTCACTATGACAATCCCCTGCTGCATGACTGGAGTTCCACTCACTGATGGCCTTCGGTGTTCACCATCATGTTACCCCTCAGTTAGAGGGGTAACTTCAGCTATGTGGGCAGGCACTGCCAACATGGAAGCAGGAGGATCGAGGGGTCCCACGGGACCACCTGTCTGCAGCCCATGTGGCAATGGGACAGAATTGTGCTGAGAGTGGGATGGGGTGCGGGCCACGCATCACTTCTGTGAAACATCTCTCCCCAGGTGCAACTGTGGTGAGGCAAAGCTTGGCTGTAGAGGTTTCACTCCAATGCACAGCTAAGTGCATTACCATAAGGGAGAGAGCTCTCATTCCCCTTTCTCAAAGGAAGATGGGGAGAAAATATGATGAAAAAGGGATTAAGGATTGAGATAAGTGCAGGGAGATCACTCACCAAGTACTGTCACAGGCAAAACAGATTCAGCATAAGAGATATTAATGTAATTTATCACCAATAATAACAGTCTAGATCATTGAGAAACTGAAGCCAAACTAGAAACATCTTCCCACACCATTCACCCCCTTCTACCTACTCCCTTCAAGGCAGCGCAGGAGAATGGGGGCCTTCCCTCAAGTCAGCCCATAATCTTGTCTCTGCTGCTCCTCCATGGTCACTCTGCCCCTGCTCCACATGGACTCCTCCTACAGGATGCCATCCTTCCCAAACTGATTCTGTGTGGGTTTCCCACAGGCTGCAGCTCTCCAAGCACTGCTTCACAATGGACCCATACCACAGGGCCGACCATTCAGGAACTGCTTCAGCTCTGTCCCCACATGCAGCAGCTAACCTGGCCCTCCTTCCCCATTACAAGCTCCTCTTCATGTGCTGCAGCTCCAGCCCGGGGCTGCTCATGCAGTTATCCATGGGCTGTGGCCTTCAGGCCTCATCCACTGCTGCATTATGGGCTCCTCCATGGCTGCACATGGAGATCTGCTCTACGTGATGCCCACAGGCTGCAGGGGAGCAGCCTGCTCCACCACAGGCCTTTCCTTAAAGGGGAGATTTAGACTGGATATAAGGAAAAACTTTTTTACAATGAGGGTGGTGAGGCAGTGGAACAGGTTGCTCAGAGATGTGGTGGATGCCCTGTCCCCAGGGACGTTCAAGGTCAGGTTGGATGGGGCTCTGAGCAACCTGATCTAGCAGCAGGTGACCCTATTCATTGCAAGGCAGTTGGACTAGATGGTCTTTCAAGGTCCTTTTCAACTCAAATGATTCTATGATTCTCCTGGGCTGCAGGGAGTTTCCACTCCGTGCCTAGAGGACCTTCCACCCTCCCTCTGCACTGACCTTGATGCTTGCAGAGCTGTTCCTCCTCTCACAGTGTTCCCTCTCCTCTCTCCCAGCTGCTTCTGCACAGTAGTTTTTCCCTTTCTTAAATATGTTCTCCTGGAGCACACGCAGCGTTGCTCACAGCTCAGCTCCACCCAGGGGCAGGTCTGTGTTGGAGCAGCAGTAGCTGGCTCTGATCTTACATGGCACTTAGCAGAGTTGCCAGGCTCAGCTCACCTCTGTAGATACCCTACTATCAAAACCTTGCCACACAGGCTCAGTACATCAGCATGGCTTTGCACTGCTCCCTTGAGCTGCACTGCTAACTGCAAGGCTGCAGTGGTGGAGTCAGTGTGAAATAACATTAAGCACACAACCTCAGATGCAGCGGCTATCTCAGTTTCATGTACTTCCAAAAACCAGGGCAAAACAAAGATGGCATAAGGCCTTCTCAAACATTCAGTGGAAAAAAGCTAAAATCTAAGGAAAATGAAGCAGATTGAGTTAAATGAAGAGACGCCAAGTTTCAGACTGCATTTTCCTCATGCACAATACTTTAAAAAAACAAAGCAAAAACTGAAGAAATCTCTCTCCTCTTCAGATGAATACTCAGTAAATCACTTCCCTCATCTCTTCTTCATCCAGTATTTCTACAAAGTGCTTCTGTACTCAGAGAGGATTTCATGTGTTACAGTGGGATGTGATGTCCCCATGAGGCTCCTACAGGATTCATCCCCTGGCTTTCTTAATATACACTTGCTAGGATGATATTACACTATGCAGTGGAGTGTCTCAAGGCTATATTTATACAGGAGGCTGGACTTGATTCCCAGAGGTCCTTTCTAACCCTTATGGTCCTATCTTTTCGATACAGATTTAACTCATTACATTTAGCACTGACTCAGACATTTTTTAAAAGTATTCGCTTCCAATGCTAACAATGCTATGTGAGGGAAAAGTACAATATTCAATGTCAATATTAAAATACAAAAATAAAATAAAATAATTCAAAATAATGTGTACTATTCCCCTCCCTCCCCCTTTTCAGTATCTTCAAGCAGCAAAAGATATATAGAGGAAAAAATCTAATTGCTAGTGTAAGACTGCCCTCTAGTAGAAAACTTTCTCCAGGAATATGCTGCTTGTTTTGGGAAAATACATAACAAATTTAAATTCAGAAGCTGTGGTCTAATAACATAGTAGAACAGGCTTTACACAGCTAAATAATGAGTGCTACAGCACCTTCAAGAGTCACATAAAAAACAGAAGTAAATTTGTTGATAAGAAGAGAAAAAACAAGGTAACAAGTAGCATGGAAATGGTACTATATTATACAGATCACTTGGCTTCTCAGTTCAGTCTCTCTTCTGGTCAAAGTATGTTAGAAATAGAGGAAAGTAAAGAAGATCTGGCATAAAAAGATTTCTCATAAGAAACTTGAAAGGAAGTGGAGATAAAAGATACAGAATCAAAGTAGGAAACACACTAAAAAAGAAGTCAGAAAAGTCTGAGCTATTTCACACAACACAGCCTCATCTAATATCCAGTTGTCCCAATGACAATTCAAATGATTAAAAAAACAAAAAAAAATAGCTTACAAAAATATGCAATCAGTTTATAGACCCCATCACTATTGTATTGTAACTGTATGGTGTCTGCAGTGTTATGTAACATCAAGGCTAATTAAGACATCTTTCTGATAATGAAGTTTCATGGTCCTGTATTCTTAATGCAATCTACACACACTAAGTACATAATGTTTGGAAAAGAGTACCTTCTGGGGAAGATGATTAACCGAGCAGTAAGGTGTATACAATACAGTGTGCCTTTGCTCTCCTGGGAAGCATCTGATAGTACTCAAAACTGAAAATTAACTGGACATGGGAAACATCATCGTGAACCTTTCTGTGTCCCGTGCACACTCCCAGAATATGAAAACAGAGGTAAATTCAGTACTGTTACACCCATCTGCACCAGGGACGCAGAGGCACCTGATCTGTTTTCCCACAGGCTAGACCTAGAGCTTAAATGGGATATCAAAGCAGAGTTAGCATCCCTACACAGTACCAAAATGTGCCTACACAAGTTGGTATCTGTTTCAGGGTCCTTGCAGTGCGCTGTGTGCATGACAGCAGTACCTTTGGTGTCAAACACACCCATCACATGGACAAAGCATGTCGTTGCTTATTTTTGTGTATTTTATATACACATGCAAGTACTGTGGACAGATATGTGCTTCACTAAAAATAATCAGTGCATACAAAAATTAAATACACTCACAGAACCAAGCACTTGTGTAAATCAACAGCAGGCAGCTAGATGGTCTCAGACTTTTTTTTTTAAATAGACTATTAAAACAAATTCTATTTTGCTTGGCTTGTGTGTATACAAAACTCCTTAATCTAAACAAGTACAGGGAACAATTCTTTATCCTGGAGAGTGTAAAAAAATTGTGACAGTCTGAAGGCAATGGGGAATATAAGCACAAGGAACTGGTACAAATGATTTTAAGAAAGACTTGAAAAAGGAAAGGGCAAGGCTATTTGCAAACAGGGGTCTGAAGATGCTACAGCAATAGGGAAGTATGAAGCAGAGCAAAGGGAGCCAGAGGTGAGGAAGATAAGTAGTACTTGGTCCTCAGGACCAGTCAGTGACCTCTGCAGACATCAGGTGCACTGAGCCATGGGGTTTTGGGAGACAGACTGAAGTAATCACAACCTAGTTAAAAAAAAAAAAAAAGGTAAAAAAAAAAGTAGAAAAGAGGAAAAAAAACCAAACATGTATTTATAGAACAGTGAAGGACTAGTTAGTACTTAGGGAGAAGTTGTGTTCTCCTAACAGCAGAGAGAATGTATGGTTATTCACACTGCTCATCTTCAACACCCAGACAGGGCATTTTGAGAGAGCTAAATGTCTGAATTTAATACGCAGTATGAAACATTCCTGGAACCTGAGCCCATACTTAAAAGAACAGATGAAATAATTAGTCAAGAAACAAAACAGATGAACAGAAGATGATTCTAACAGAGCATACATGGCATACATCATTCTCCCTAGATAGAGATACAGTAAGTGATCACTGAATTCAGGGTGCTGGAGGACCTTAACCTATCTATATAAACCAAGTTTGTGATAAGCAATACTGCTTCAGTAAGTAGAATCCAAAGGAAGAGTCCAACATTTCATAAAATTGTGTGACTAAACAAACAGCAATGCTGTTATCCTTGCAGTGACCTTCACTGGATAACTTAAACACAGCCATTAATCTCACAGTACTCTGAATACTCTGAAGCAGTAAATTTCTCATGATTATGTTTTCAGAAATGAAAAGGAAAATGCGAGAACTCTCCTCTGAATATTTGAACAAAAATGTCTTAGATATAAACAGCATTTTTCAATGCAAGGAATTAAAAATGAAATAGTAAAGCTAAGAAAAATGTAGCTAAGCTAAGCATTCTGTATTTATGCAAAGGTAGTTAATAGGACATAACTGGGAATGCATGAAACATTTAGAGTTCTTCTGTCATTGTCATAACATCACATTCTTTTATATTTCTTTCACACTTTTCTACTGACAAGATTCAGAAGTCTTACCGAATTGTCTTTCAGCTGCAGACCTTCTCCATTTGGGAGTGATGATCTCCGTTTTGAGTTCTTGTTTGGTGTAGAATTAGCACCTCCAGTTTTCTTCTTGACAAAGAGGACTTCACAGCTGGCTTGATCTTCATTGTGTGTGCTCTTCCCAGCATTTATTACTCTAAGGGGGCAGGTGGAAGATCAAAAAAGAAAACACAGGACACGTCCAAGTTAGCAAAACACAGAAGCCTTCACCAGTACCACATACATGACTCAAGAGACATACAGAACCATAACCCAGAAGTATAACAAATGCCAACTGAATTATAATGCTTGACTTTTGGACAAACATGTAAACACACAGATTTACGTTTGCTTATTTCCATACACCTACACTTAGCATAACAAGAATTTCTCACACAACTGTGAGTTAGAACCAATAGAATCACAAGCATGTTTACCCTTAGGCATGACACAATTTTCCATAAAAAGAGTATTTGATGGTTATGTCTGATAACATTTATACCTTCTTCTGAAACATGAGATCCTCAGTTGCTTTTCTATAGCAATGCCTGCTATGGTAAATAATGAATCTGTTGGCTAAGGGTGTGTGTTTTGTCGAGTTCTGAGTCTTGCACAAATAAAATATTGGCTCTAAATCTAAAAGTTGTTAGTGCTAAAGACACAAAAAAAATGAAACTGCTGTTAATCTGTTTAAAGAACAGACTTTGCTTTGTATTGTAAAAGGCAAGTTGCACCATAGTAACGTGGAAAGATGCATTGTAGGATATCTTCAAAATCAAAACAAAACAACAAAAAAGTAAATCTTCACACCTCTGCCCCAGTTGCAACTTAGAGAGCAGTTGATTTGCACCAAAAGCTTCAGGCATGCAGAAACAAGCACAAGAGCTCAGTTCTGTTCTGCACAGCCAGAGATATCCTAAGGCTTGCACCATGGCTGCTCGCTCACCTCCATTCAATACTATGAAGTAGAAGCCACCACCATTTCAGACTCCTAAGCAGAGTCTAAAACAGCGACCCACGGTACTGCTGTTACTACCACCTGTCTCAGAATTACCATATTTGAGTACATTTCCCACTTCTGCCTGAGAATCTTACAAAGCCCGACCAACTTTGCAACAGTCAGCACCGTGCTCAGCAAGACTTGCACTTCGGCAGTCTGGGCTTCACACAGGGAGAACCCATGCAGGCTGGGACCAGTTCTTACAACTCACACAAGTGTGTCTTTGTCCACAGATGCTGCCTAACCACTCCTCTTCACTGTGAGGCTTGAGGCTACAAGATATCTCTTGTTAGCAGCAGTGTTTCCACCGCTGGATAAGCAATTTCATATCAGGTACAAAATATCCTTCAAAACAACCACTGCTTCCCCAGAAAGCAAAACAGCTTGAAGGCATGTCATAATCCTGATGGCAAGTTCAAGACATACCTGATCTTTAATGTTTTGATTACAGTAAAATTTTACATAACAAAAAGCATTGATAGAGGCTGTTGGGAAGAAAAGAAAACAAAAACTGAAGGCAGGCCTGCAGGGGACTCAGCATCAGCCTGCCTGTTCTTGGGAAAATGTGATTCTGTGTCATCCTTGCTTAAAGATAAAATATTCTTTTGATTTTTTAAGAGCAACATGACACTGTGACATGCAAATGAGTACTTCTTCCTCCAAAGAGAAAAAACATGTTCATACTTCATATGTACGTCCACTACAATTAACTACTTCCAGAAACTAAGCTTCATTGCGGTGCTGATGAACATCACGCACTGCAGTCTGACAGGAGAGGGCTTTTATTTGCAGTGAACATTGGTATGCATGATACCACCAGCTATTTGCAAATATTTCTTGTAAAGAAACATCAACTGTGGATAAAATCATTTTGTGAAACACATACAAAGCACAGATTAAGGAGCACGTAGTTGCAAGGTGCCTGTGAGCAGCTTAAGCACTCGCCCTCTACAGAGCCCAGCATTTGAACACCTGTAGATCAAATACTAACAGAATAAACTTCTAGCTTGAAAACTTAACATACAATCAGAAAGAGAAATAAAAACAAATACCAACACTTCTTTAGTTTGAAAGGCTACCAGCATAATTAAAGTATTGCAACAGCACGGTCAGCACAGTTTGATCACATTGGGAACTAACAAATACTCAGTTCAGCTGCTTAGTCTTCTTGCTGATGTTGGTAGCTGTTTTCATTTCAATCCCATGGAAAAAACAAAACAAAACAAAAACAAATTAAAAAAAAACAAATAAAAAAACAAATAGAGACAAGAGCTGCTCCTTACAAAAACCACTACATTCCTTATTGCTTCCTGTTAGAGCTGCTCTGGTTTCTGAGCTTGGCAATGCTTCAGGGACTTGTAAAGCAGGAGATATTCTGATGTTCAACAGCATGTTAAGTTATGCACAATATGGTATCGTTTTAGAAAGCTCCTACCAAGAAAATTTGTCAAGTTGCTGAATACATGAGAAAGGTTCTGAGAACACAGAGATCTGACAAGAGAGCCTGGCAGGCAGCTGCTGTGAAACACCTGGCAGCTGAGCTGTGCAACAAGCACCTCCTATGACAGGCTATGGACAAAGGGAACCTGGGAAGACTGAATACCAACAAGACAAGGGGATTGCTGTGTCAGTATATTGTAGCAAGAGATGGGGCTGTAAAAGACATGTTCCCTCCCACAGTTCCAGTGGGAATTTTTCTCCATCAGAAATATATACATATATTGAAAATCTTAGCGAAGAATCAAACTAATCATAATCCGGTCAAAAGAGCGCTTACAGGCACCACAAGTCATGCAGGGTCTAGATACCAAACAGTTCCCTTCTGCTGAAATGGGTGCTTCTTTGCCCTCACATCCCATCTCACACCCCAAGTTCTGAAATAACTCTGTCTTTTGAAGTCCTTTTCTCTGTGCTGCTTCTTAAATCCCTTCTCGAGGCACTTCTTTCTACCAGCTTTCCAACACTGTTTTCACTGTTGTCTTTGCTCCTTGCTCTTTCAGACTAACTTAGCAAGACAAACCCCACAGCCAAATTACTTATACAAATAACAAAGCAGAACTAACGAGATGTTTATATCTCTTAAAAAAAAAAAAAAAAAAAAAAAAAAAGCTCTTAATTAGACTTCTGAATTTTTTTATAGAAAACTTGCCATCCCCCTTTGTCAGTAGAGGAACTGCTTCAATTTCCTAAGCTTTCCAGTTCCTTTTCATATTCATCTTTCTGTCCACTCCCCAGAACGATGTTATTTATCTCCATTAAAGTGAACAAAATGAGATAAAGCATTACCTTCTCACGCTTAATAAAAGAAATACCCTGCCAACACAAACCTCTGACCATGCATTTGCCCTCACTTCCTCACTTCCATTATATCATGGACGCAGATAAGAAGAAACGCTGGAGTGAAAGGGGAGGGGAAAAAGGATAGAGGCCTATAATTCTCTACCTTTTATTCAGACACATGTTTTCAAGGAATTTTTTTCCCTTCTCTCCTCATCACATTTCCTCAAAGAACTGTTTAGTTAGACCTGTTCATAAGCATCATCTCCTTTCCTCCTCCCCCACATTATTCATTTATGAGTTATCCAATCTTTTATGAAGTGCAATCCAAATAGCATACCTAATTTGGATCAGATTAGAGTATTGGCTGCCTCTACGGTGTCTAACACGCATTACTCTGTAATAAATAGACAATCCGAAGGTTTAGCCTATTGTACAGTAGTGGAAAAATACATCCCATTTTGCAAACAGGAGCCTTGTGAAGCCTGCACACACAGTAAGGTGGTGGGATTTTATGGTTTTGTGGTTCATCCCAGCAGCAGCCCAGCTTCACACCGCCGTTCGCTCACCGCCCCTCCCCACAAATGGAATGAGGGAGAGCACTGGAAACAAAGTAGAACTTGTGGATTGAGATAAAAACTATTTAGTAAGACAGAAAAGGAAAATGGAAACAAAAAAAATTGTGGTGATAACCAATACATATGCCCATCCATAATGCAATTACCCCACTGTCAACAATACGTCTCACCACCCGCTGACTGCTGCCCGGTCAATGCCCTACCAGTAGCTGCCCCCTGGCCAACTCCCCACAGCACAATGCCATGTGGTACAGAATAACACTTCCCCTAATTCAGGCCAGCAGCCCTGGCTCTGCCCTGTCCTTTGTTGCCACGCTGTGAAGACAGTGGCTCTCCCCCATGCCAGCAGGCTGGCAGGTGTGCTCTCATCACTCAGCAACAACCCAAGCATCGGTGTGCTATTAACGCTGTCTCAGCCGAAACCAGGACACAGAGGTACTTGTGTCAACCTCGACAGACACTTCAGTACTTTACAAACTAATCTCTGGCATGCCCTCAACTGAAAGCAAATCCTCCAGATACGAGCCAGACTGTTTGACTGACTCACAATTAGCATTCTGCCGGTATCTCACAAGACCCCAAGTGGCATCTAACTGAACAAAGATGTAGGTCACACTGTGCTTCTATTCTTCATTCATTCAGCAGGGCTCCAAATCCTCTTGATGATGCCACTGATCACAAAAAATCCTAAATTTGTCTTAAAAGAACAAAAACAGTTGAGTTGAATAAGCTCAGAATAGCTTTCCAAAACTGGTTCCTGACATAAAAATAATAACAACATACAACTGTCAAGTCTTCTGAAGTATTCCCATTCGGCACTCTATATCAATACAACTACTTTCTGGACTGTCTTCAGCTGTTTTACTCCTATCTAAACCATACTTGTTAAGAATGCATTCAGTTGTATTTACTCTAGCAAAACTCCTAAGCCATGCTGTAGGAGTGTTTTACTCTAGTCCAGTTGTCAAACTATAGAAAAGTGAGTAGTCCAGTTACTTTGTTTTTGTAATCTCAGAAATCTTGCAAGGTTTTTTATTTCACATCTTGACGAAAGTTACTGGAAAGGTGAAGAGTTAGCAGAAATGCTAAATGATGCATAGCTATAGCAATGCGCACAAAAACGCTTTTTGAAATCTAAGAGCTATTAGAACTCCAAGATCTGTTCTTACACCAGGAAAAACGTGGAAATTGGCTGCACATATACTGAATGCCCCTGCTCAGAAATAAAACCCACAGCTGGGGACCTGATGATTCAACAACATGCATTTCTCACTGACGAGGTGGCATCTGCAGGTAGGAAGC